TCGTAAATAAGGCGTGATAGAGCTCAAAATTAATGGAAATATTTATAAATAGTTTCGGGTAATCTGACCTGTGGCTGATATTTTTTCAGAACTTAGGTATTTCAAAATACTCTTTGCTGGGCTGGAGCGACGGAGGCATATCCAGTATTATTTTCGCCGCCAAGTATCCTGAAACTGTCCATAAATTAGTTGTTTGGGGCACTAACGCCTTCATACTACCTCACGAGTTGGAAATATACAAAAGTGAGTAAGTTTTGTGCCTTTAATGTGAAATGTTTAAATGTCTATTTTCTATAGTATGTTTTATACAAAGTCGGTTAAAAATATGCATCCCATACCTGTGAGAGTTGAGTGCCAGAAATTATCATCGTCAGCCTATTAATGTCCCCACTGCTGGAGCACAGGCCTTCCCTATGGATGGAATAGTGAGATTGGGCCATGCATGACCCACGCGAGCCCAGTGCGAATTGGTGGGTGCTGAAGACTGCAGATACAGCCGGGACCAGCGGCTTAACGTGCTTTTTGAAGCATAGAGGAGCTCGAGAGAGTAAATTTGTGGTCACCCATCCAATGACCGACCACTGCGAAAGTTGCTTAACTTCAACCATCGCAGCCGACCGCATTTATTATTATTCCAGAAATGTATCAATAAATTGTGGTCAGGTCTTCTACCCTAGCTTTACTTGACGACCTCCGTGGCCAAGTGGTTTATACGCCGGGTTTCATGGTGTCGCCGAATCGAGAGGTCCCGGGTTCGAATGTCAATGGAATTCTATATAGATATACTTATATATATGTACAATATATGTATTCTGTCCGTTGCCCTAGTATCCCATAACACAAGCCTTACAGTGCTTAATTTGGGGCTAGGCTAATTGGTGTGAGTGTTGGAAATACATATAATACATACATATACTCTCATCTGGTCGGTTGGAACGCTACAGTCCTCCCGTAAGCTGCGTACGCATAGCGCGTTCCAGAGCACGCGAAGCAGACTTCGCGTGCTTTGAAAGCGTAATACATACTCATTGCAACTCGTGGAGGCTACAAGTATACAATTAATTATAATGTTCGTTACGTTATATATATTACTAGCTGACCCAGCGAACTTCGTACCGCCCTAAAAAATAGGGGTTGTCCAGCGGACAAAATTGTGAATCTAAACCATTCTCATGACTCATTTCTTTGTCGCACTATCCGTAAATGGAATGCTCTGCCCGCTCACGTGTTCCCTCCCTATTACAACCTGGGATCCTTTAAAAGAGGCGTGAAGAAGCAACATGCAGGCCGGCAGGGTGAGGATGGCTGGTGTGGCAGGTAGAACTGCTGTATCAGCTATCTTCGCGTCTGGACTTCACCTTCACTTAACATCAGGTGGGGTGGAGTCATTTGTCGGACCTATCTATAAAAAAAAAAAAAAATCTCAGATCCCCTTGAACACACACAAAAAATTTCATCAAAATCGGTCCAGTCGTTTAAGAGAAGTTCAGTGACATACACACTCACAGAAGAATTATATATATAAAGAAGATATACATACTGTATGCTATGGTGATGTGTTTTTTATTGTTCTGTTTTTCGTGTTTACTTGGGTTTTGAATGTTTTACAAACCATTAAAGCGACCTCGCACAGGCCCTGCCAGAATACCAGCGCCGACATACTGAGAGAAGTATTTCTTTTCTCATTATGTAAGCTTATATTGAGGCAGGGTCAGGCCAATAAAGAATTTTTCATTTCATTTATATGGCGTTCCCCTGGAACGCGCTATCTGTACGCAGCTGTAGAGCTCAGTACCCTTAGTACGAGTTTGAGCTCACGAAAACTATCATAGTTTTCGTAATTGTAAATTATGTTTATATGTCCATTTTATTGATAAGTAACCAAATGTCCTTGAAATTTAAGAAGACGCATATGATTAATGATAGAATTTAAACACTGTTTATTTGTATTAAAACGATAACAATAAAATCTACGAGTGCGAGCTCACGAAAACTATCATAGTTTACACTATCATCGTGATTGTAAAACTCGTACTAAGGGTACTGGCTGAAAACCTTGATGTAGTAAAATCCCAAGTATTTTTGATGACCGCTCCCGCATTAGGCTTAAGCCTGTGACTTAATTATCATTTCTTTTATTTTTACTTGTGAAGTTTATGATAACATAATGCTAATTTTTAAGGTTTTAAACCGTGGTCCCATCACTATGCCCTACTGGTTGGTGTTTTCCTCGACGAATGCCATCTGGGACGACTTCCGACTGACTGCGAATGAGTGGGTACCATCTATACCTATTAGGTCATTCGTCCACCTAGCGGGAGGACCAGGGTCCGATCTAGAAATTTTGACGCTCCGGGCCAAGATTTTTGCCGCCCTTTAGTGACGTACCTACTTTACAGCTGACCCTAAGTCAATTTTGCCGCTCTGGGCAAATGCTCGGCTCGCCCCCCCTTGGATCGGGCCCTGGGAAGGACTGCCAACTATAACAGCTAAATAAATTGAAATGTTACAGAAATTAAAGACATCAACACCTGGTCGAAACGAATGAGGGAACCAATGATTGAAGTATACGGCGAGGAGTTATTCGCAAAGTACTGGGCCAAATGGGTGGAAGGCATGGTTGCCTTGTACAATGAGAAGCGCGGCAACATCTGCGGCGAGCTGTTGAAGGATGTCAAGTGCCCCACGTATATACTGTACGGGGAGAAGGACCCCATGGTTGATAGTTCGCATGCGTCGCATCTTCACACTCACATCACTGGTTCGAGGCAAGTGTGCAAAATTATGATTAAGTATTTTGATTCCGAAAGATGAAAGCGATAGGATCAACAGAAGTTAAAAAGAACCCGCACCCTTCGCAATCCGGGCGAATGCACTGACCAATTATGCTACCACGGCCCTGATGGCCGCGTCGAAATTTTCCTAGCCTTAAGCTGCAAGGTAGCGCCAAACTTTTTTTCTATTAAAACTTTTCTTTAGATTTAAACATCTAGCAGTTAAATGTTAAATGCAGAAATAGCATTTATATGCTGTCTTCTTTCAATGTTTAATGCTTCAAAAAGTATTCATTTGACATTGTGGGTATAATGCGAAGAGATGGCGCTGCCTTGCAGCTTAAGGATAGGCAAATTTCGCCGCGGCCATCAGGGCCGCGGTAGCATAAGGCGCTTTGCAGACGACGGGGCGGGACGGGCCGGTCAATTTCGCCGCGAACGATAGCACAAAGTGAATCCTATATTACAAACGCACACGGAGGGCAAAAAGACCGCGCCTTGGGTGCCCGGCGGGCAGTGGCGGCGCGGCATGTCCGCCGTGGATCATACAAACCAGTTTATATGCAGTAACGCAGACGGCGGCGCGGGGAGGCTAGCTCAGTCCGCGCCACGCGCTTGTTAGTGATGGACTATTCACTAGAACGAACGTCCTGAACTGACTGCCTCTGCCCGCCGTGTGCTTTGTGTACGCGGCGAGGGCAGCCGCAGACATCGACGGGCAGACGCGGTTTTTATTGCTTCGCGGACAAAATGCCCGCCCCGCTCCGTCGTCTGCAAAACGCCTAATTGGTCAGTGCATTCGCCCGGATTGCGAAGGGTGCGGGTTCGAATCCCGTCTGCTGCCTGGTCCGCGTGGATTTTTTTCTATTTAAACTTTTCTTTAGATATAAACATCTAGCAGTTAAATGCTTTAAAAAAACATAACTAAGAAAACTACACTTAATAAAGTGTCAAATTCCACTTTATATTGTTAGAAATAAAGGTCGTGTTACTGTACCCCGAGTACGAACCATTATCGAATTCGAATAGTTTGCGAGTGGGAAATGTCATTGTCAAATTTTGTATGGAAATTTGAACAGCAGCGCCACAAAGTACGTAACGAGAACTAAAAATCAGTACACATCAGGACAATGGCATATCGGACTCGCAAACTATTCGAATTCGATAATGGTCCGTGCTTATGGTATTGATCCAGCTAGTGAACGTAATATGTATAGATTCATATTAAAATAATAATGTTTGTTATTCCTTGTAGACTGAAACTGTATCCGAAGGGCAAGCACAACATCCACTTGAGTTTCGCCGAAGACTTCAACCAGACCGTACAAGAGTTCCTACTGCAATCATGAAAAACCATCTCACTTAGCTTTATAATATTACTAGTGGCCCGCCCTCGCTTCGCTTCGGTGTAGAGCTGAAGTGTAGACTAGTTTTTGTTCTCAGGCTTGTATTGTACACAATGACATTCATCTATTATTCTTCTTATACCTGCATGCAAAGTCTCAGCCTGATCGGTTTAAAATTGACAAAGTTTCATACAAACTTTCATTCCCTATTTTATCCCCTTGGGAGTAGAATTGATCAAAATCCTTTCTTACGTCATAACATCTACCTGCATGCCAAATTTCAGCCCGATCCGTCCAGTGGTTTGGGCTGTGCGTTGATAGATCACTATGTCAGTCGGTCACCTTTGAGTTTTATATATATAGATTTTATCCAATATTAATAACGTGTACAGGGGGTTAAACGAAAAAAATTAACAGAAATCCCACATTTTATTTTCATTTACTTCTTATAAGCATGTTTCATTTCACGAATAAAACAATTTACATTCAATAACACATAATTCAAGGTTGAAGTGACTCATTAATTTATAACTGTACAAGCCATTTAATAGATTGGTCTCAAAAAGACCACAAACACGCAAATTCATCATTCCGCGTCTGCTTCGAAAACCTCACAAACAGGTTTTGGGATGTGAATGAGTCTGCCGGCCTCCAAGTGAGGCAGCAAAATGGATAATGTTAGTATAAACAATATAAAACAGATTTTCTCATTAACCGTATTTCATTTAATTATTTACCTGATAATATTATTGCATGTAAATATTTAAGGACACCCTTTATTTGGCACTTTTATTAAGAGCACACTCACTGATAACAATGTAAAAATTCCTATACAAAATAGTCTACTATGGTGTGGTGTGATGGCGCTGGTCACCGCTGGTCACTGGCGAATTTGGACCACAACACGAAACCTTTAATTTAAATAAAAAATACACATAAGTGTTCTGAATTCATGTTAATAAATACTTATTGCACTCTCTAAACAATGTCGAGTTGTAGTACAGTCGTGTGGCAGTCGGCATAATCTACGATACAAGAGTATGCATAATGTTAAGGCACTCCTGCCCACGCGGTTTATAAAGACGCTTCATAAATTATGGTTTACAATTATATAAACAAACACACAAACGACCTACCCTCGATAAATACATAAGAAAATATAGTGACGATACCGAATCATTCCTCGCTTATTCAAGTAAGCTTGTTTCCTCTTAAATCATAAATAATTTCTCTAGTTACAAAAATAGTATACAAGAACGGGAGCACAGAACAGCACCACACGCGTCCATCGCTTACGTTTATATTACAATAAGTTCCTTACAAATACATAACGATACAATATTACAACATTATCACCGGGATTATTAACAATACGGTTTCTTGTTTCGACGCTTCTCATTATTTTTAATTTTACTTTTAAATAAATGTTACGTTCGTTACGTTTTAAATGAAATATTTTTCATTTTTTAAATAGATATAGAGAGTCAAAGGCACACACTTTGTAAAAAAAACTTGTACAAGTTAGTCTCATTGTCTCTGCACTGTCACTATCCACTGCCGGATTTAGGGGAGGGCAACCGGGGCGAAAGCCCCGGGGCCTCCACAAACGGGGGGCCCCCACAATAGACTTCGGAAAAAAAAATCTTTCAAATTCCAACTCAGGGCGGGATTTAGGGCAGGGCATGCGGGGCAGTGGCCCAGGGGCATCCCCAAAAGACAGGGGCCACAACAGAGATATTAAAAAAAAAAGTCATTGGGTCACTAACCAGAGGGGGGGAGGGCGAATTGTAAGTGGCCCTGCCTAGATTTAGTAGGGTCCTCCCCACTTCATTGCCCCAGGGCCTCCACACCTCTAAATCCGGCCCTGTCACTGTCACTGTCAGACGTAGACGGGGCCCTGGTTGTCGTTGTCGTCAAGGTTGATTTTCGTGTAGCCCTCGTCGAAGAACCGCCTGAAGGTGAACTCGAAGAAGCCGTGGAAGGTCTTCCCGTTGTCGAGCAGCTCGCTGTCCGATTTGTTGGAGTCGGAGCTGCCGGAGTTCCGCAGTTTGTCGGGGTCGATGGGATCGAAGTTCGAAGTGTCCGTGGGGTATTCGATCCTGGGGATGTATGGCGCCACTTGTCGTCGCAACCCCTTCTCGAAGTCGATGCTCTTCAGGAAGGGGTGGTTCTTCACCTCGCTCGCGTGGTTGCCGAGCCTCGTCTCCTGCCCGGAGCACAGCTTCAGGATCAGATCCTTGCTTTCCCGCGAAAGGTTCGCCGCGTCCGGTATGTGGAGCGTCTTCTCCCAGTTTATAACCTGCAATTTGTGGCATCGTATTAATTTATAATTAACATTAGACTTCACAAAACATTCCAAATTGTCAGCCGTCTTTATAGATGCAAATCTTAAGAGCAAATGGGACCAGCGGCTCAAATTTGTATGGTAGTGAGCCTGTGGCAGGCTCCAAGTTTTTATGACATAGAGTCTGCCAGACCTCACCTCTAAATAATTGGACAAAAAACTAGAATTTATTTTATCCCCGTATTTTTTTCTAATAATAATTTTCTATTATATAATTATTGATTGGTGAATAGCAAGTTTATTTATTATAACACTGTTTGTTGGCAAGACATCAAATATATTCTATTCAATAGGTATCTAAAGCAGTGATAATTATTCTGTTCATCTCTTATTCTATTATTAGGTGTTTTGTGGGTATTTTATTTTGAGACATATCAATCATAATTTAGTGTAAGATTTAAACTATTATTTCACGAATTTCATACATGACTGGACTGATTGACATTTGACAAAGTGATTAAGAGCGTGCGCTGCCTTAAGCAGGAGCACGTAGCGGACGTCGGACTGACCAAAGCTCCGTTTTCGTTCCATCCTAGTATGTAAAGGGATAGGGTAATGTAATAAAGAAAGCGCTCCATACACACACAGCATAGCAGCAATATGTCACGCTGACATTGGTTGCGTTGCCCTATAAGCCTGAAAAGATCACCATTTAAGCAAACTATTGCCACTCACCTTGAGTTGAGTCTCCGCAGGCGTGGCAGCGAGGAAGGGCGGCGATCCGACAAGCATCTCATACAATATGACCCCGACGGACCACCAATAGCAGAGCTGCGTGTATCCGGGTCGTGTCAGCACCTCGGGCGCGATGTAGAGCGAGAGAAAACTACCTAGTGGATAGGATAGTGTAATAAAGAAAGCGCTCCACACACTCACAGCATAGCCGCGATGTGTCACGCTGACATTGGATGCGTTGCCTTATAAGTCTGAAAAGATCACCATTTAAGCAAACTATTGCCGCTCACCTTGAGTTGAGTCTCCGCAGGCGTGGCAGCGAGGAAGGGCGGCGATCCGACAAGCATCTCATACAATATGACCCCGACGGACCACCAGTCGCAGAGCTGCGTGTATCCAGCTCTTGTGAGCACCTCGGGCGCGATGTAGTTGGGAGTGCCGACGAGGGAGTGCGCGAGACATCGCTGGTGCTCCCGCTTGCGGCGCCGCTCCAGAGGCTTTAACTGGTGGCAGCGGCACTCGCCCAGCGCGCCCCATTCCCCGTCCACGGGGTCCATCGAGTCTTGCCGGCCGTGGTCTGAACCATATAGAATACTTGCATCAAAATTTAATTCGGTCTCGAAATTCAGTCTTTAATGTGTTAGTAACGAATTTAACTGAAAAACTATGTTAGTTATACTTAATAATAATGAAATTTACAACATAAAGAATTTATGAATCTACATTATAAACATTAAAATCAAAAAATGAACATAATGAAATTTAAGTGAGGTAGGTACAAGGGCGTCGCCAGCTTATGACTAAGGGGGGGCAATGGGGCAATATTATGCAGGATAAATAATATGAACTCCGAGAACATGAAACAGCACTACACTTTGAAAGTCTTTGCCTCGATAACGATTGTAATAAGAACGGTTCTAATATCAATGTATCGAACTTCACAAGCCCTCCACAACGCAGTAACTAAATCAAAATTTTGAACACAGTAATAATTATTTATTTAATTAAAAATAATATTTAATTAAAATACAACCTGCGGGGATTATTTGCAAAACTTTCAACCACTTTATCATTAAAATTATTTAGGTTTTTATTTATTACTAGTGGCCCGCCCTCGCTTTGTTTCGGTGTAGAGCTGTGGTGTAAACTATAGTTTTTGTTCAAAGGCTTGTATTATACACAATAGCTTTCTTCATAATAATTATAAACCTTCCATTCCATTCCAGTAAAAAATTCGTTGCGTAGTTTACGTGTGAGTAATCGGTACCAGTTGTACCGAATGCAACATTGCACTGCTGTTCTCATTTGAAAAATTCTTTTTGTATTGGACAGTGCATTTATCGAGGAATATAGGCTATAGGCTATATATTACCAGGCTACGACCAGTACCAGCGGAGCATCGATGAAAAATGTTACAAAAACGGTAAAATATCCCATTTCTGAGATTCCGTTGCGTGCACTGTGTAAACGGTTAAAGTTACACAAAAATCATGTATGACGGATTTCTTTCCGTTTAAAAGTTCTGTAAAAAAGTCCACGGCAGCCAATGTCCATATTTTAAGTTGAACTCACTATAAACCTTTCCTACAAATTAACCCGGGTGAAACCGCAGCACAGTGTTTTATGGAACCAAAAAAATTTACACCTTAAGATTTTTGCATAAATCAATTATTTATACCCTAATAAAGGCAAGAGTTCAATTCTCAGATCACTATTTCCATTAAAAAAAAAGATATGAAGTAGCAAAGTTTTTGAAATTTGAGCATTAAAAAATTAACAATTTAATTTCCTCAAAAGACGGTTCCATATCTGTACATGAGATATTTGCCACTTGATAAGGAATTATTGAAGGCATAATTTTGCAATTTTATTTTATTTATAAGTGTCCTATTTTCCGAGAAATATTTTTTTTTAAATTTCGATTTTTAATTTTTTTCTCCAAATATCGGCAAAAGTGGAACCTGGATTTAGCACAGAAAGGTTCTATAAGCCAAGTTCTATCACCCATAAAAAAATCAGGTTTCACTTTTGCGGTTTTAAGAAGTTATGACAGAATTTAGATAAAGGTCAACTTTCATGATCTAGGATTGTCACAAAGGTCAACTATGAGTTAAATGAAAATGTTAAATTTTTTGTTTGTTAATTAATACCGTCAATCAATTGAATAAATTAACAACACTTGTAGACGAATACAATATACTTACATATACTAGGTACCTACCTAATGTAGATGTGATAATGTAGGAATACTTTATGTTTGTTCGACCACATTTTAACTTTGTACCTTACACGCTAAACGGTAACGAAAAAATGAACTATGTTGCTTGAAAAAAATTTCAAAATTCATTCAGAATCATTCAGGCATTCGATCAGAAAATAAAAACAAATCTTGGGCATAAATCAGTTAGTAGGTGTAACTATTATTGTTACAAAAAAAACGTAGAGGTAAGCAGGCATGAACTTATGTCTAATTGGGTCTCCAAAACACACACACAAAACAAACAATTAATAGTTAATACTCAGACCTGAAAACGAAAATCGATATTCATTATAATGACTTCCGCCTTGACTGGGAATCACCATAAGCGTTCCTTTTTTGCAAATAGAGCTTGGAGCCCATAAAAATATGTTAAAGGTACTGTAGTAAGTTCCTAAAATCTATATTATTGTAAACTCGTTCAAAACTAATACACAAATTTATATTTTAAAAATTTTTGTTCGAGGTCAGGTTCGGTGTCAACCCTAGCATAAAAATTTAAAAATGAATATCTTCTAATCGCCGCAAAAGTGACACGTGGCTTATTTATGTATGATAGAACACATCCGTAGGTTTATTTCTATCGAAGTTCTAGGTTCCACTTTTTCGTTTTTAGGGAGAAAAATCAATAAATACGAAATACAAAAAAAAAAATCTGCTCCCAAACCAATGCATTTTTTTAAGCTAAAGAAACGCGTTTATACGCCTCTGATTATGCCCGATTGACACATATTTATTAAAAAAATATATTGTTAATATTCACTTTATAAAAAAATATTCTAGATTTCATAGGTCAAAGGTCACGATAAGTTCATGATTTTTTTTCTCAAAAAGTATTTGAGTTAGACTTCTGGGAATTGAACTCATGCCTTTTTTAGGGTATAAATAATCTATTTATGTAAAAACCTGAACATGTAAATTTTTTTGGTTCCATAAAACACTGTGCGCAGGGGACCTCTTATTGTGACATAACTGTAATAGTTAGACATACGGTATCGCGAACTTTTAAGTAGATATTGGTATCCTCTTCAAAACTTTAGTAAATCACTTTGCTCTATTGTTAATGACTTCCGCAGCGTACCCGATATAAGGCAATTTTTTGGTACTTTTTACACACGTTGGGTTACATTATCGGAGTTTTCATACGGAACCCTAACTTTTTTGGAAATACACTATAGCCCACATTATTCAGTGATAATGTAGCATTCCTTTGTAGGCTGCATCTGCAGTCGTTAGCACCCACCAACCCGCACTGGGCCCGCGTGGTGGGTCATGGCCCAATCTCCCTATTCCATCCATAGGTAAGGCCTGTGCCCCGGCAGTGGGGACATTAATAGGCTGATGATGAATGTAGCATTCAAATGGTGAAAGAATTTTTAAAATCGAGCTGCGTCTTTGTGTAGGTATACATTAAAATCAGATTCGGATTTTTATTTTTTAGAAAGCACAGTCTGCTGGTCTTTACTAAATTAAATAATATATTGTATAAAAATAAAAGCTCACCATTTCTTTGATAGTATTTCGAGTTGTGCGTCCACCGGAAGCCCGTGCACAGGCCGAAATCGGTCAGCTTGATGTGGCCGTCGCGGTCGATGAGGATGTTGTCAGGTTTGATGTCGCGGTGGATGAAGCCCATCTTATGGACGCTCTCCACCGCGCACGTCAGCTCCGCTATGTAGAACCTAGCCAGCTCCTCTTTAAATATCCCCAGCTTTATCAGCAGCGACATCAGATCACCGCCCGGTATGTAATCCATCACAAAATACAAATTGTCCTTGTCTTGGAAACTGTAATACAATTTCACGACCCACTCGTTGTCCGCCTCCGCCAGAATGTCCCTCTCGGCCTTCACGTGCGCGACTTGGTTCCTCTTCAACACGTCCGCTTTCCGAAGTGTCTTCATGGCATATAGATGACTAGTATCGATCTTCCTGACGAGTGTCACCTCCCCGAACGCGCCCACGCCTATAGGCTTGATCTTCGTGAACATGGACTTGTCCATTTTCGCCCTCTTTAACCTGATGTAGTTGGACTCCTTCTGCGACAGCATCTTCCTCATCTGACACTGCGCCTCCGCGCTCAGCCCTATTTTGTTCATCTCCTTCTCGAGCTGCATGCGCCGGAACGTCCTCTGTTTGTAGGATTTCAAAATATTCTCGACGTGCTGCTCCATAAAGAACTTGAACGCTTGCGGGGAGTAATTTCTCACTTTACAATCTCGTCTCTCGTCCTCTTTCTCCTTGCTGATGTTCTTCCTTTCGGGGATGGGGGACTGATGCCTTATCTTTTCTAACATTTTGTTCGGCCGCCGTTCGGAGGAGCCGTTCGAGCTTTTATCGGAACCGGACGCGACGCAGCCGTCCTTCAGCAGATTGTTGGTGCAGTTTTGATTGGGGCACTTGATCTCCCCGATTCCCTGGGAGGGTTCGCCTTTAACATCACAATTGTTGGAAAACTTTTTATGCAAAGGGGAGTGGTGGGAGTTGACGGTGGTCGTGTTGTCGTTCTGAGTTCCGTAGGGCGGAGGAGGGACCGGCATGCCGCGCTGGACGGCGAGCGCCTGCATGGTGATGGCGTAGCTGGGGGGCTCCGTGGTGGGGACGGTGGGGACGGTGGGGGTGGGGGGCCCGGGGGCCGGCAGCGCGGGCGGCGTGGAGCCCGGCGACGACGGCTTGGGGGCCAGCGGGTAGCTCGGCGGAGTCTGCGCCTGCTGCTTCTGCTGGATCGAGCTAGCGTACGACGGCGGGGGCGGCTGAGCGACGGAATTCGAAATGGGCGGTGGGGCGACCGGAGCTATGGCCGTTTGCAGCACGGGCTTCTGCACTTGAGTGCTCTTCACGGATTGCATTATGATGGGAGGCTGGACCGCCTGTCTCGCTGTCCACGCCTGTATAGGTGTGGGGCGAGGCATGCCCGACGCCGAGCCTGTCGATTGCGTCACCGTAATCGGGCTCGGCGAGCCGGCGGACGTTCCTCCCGAATATATTCCCGACGACGGACTCTTTCTGTAATCCTGGGACTGCGTGGGACTCTGTCGGTTCTGCATGGACACCGAGTAGGAGGGGGGCGGCGGGACTCCGGACAGGGGGTAGGGGGGTGGGAGTTCGGCTCCTCCCGCGCCCGTTTGATAAATATTTAGCGCTTGAATCTGCTGAGTCAACTGTTGTTGAACCTGAGGGCCGTTTTGAACGATCATCGGTTGTCTCGCCGGCGGGGTGGGGGCGCCCGCGGCGACGGGGCTGGTGCCTCGCGCGGGGGGCAGGGGAGGGGCGGGGGACATGCGCTTCATGAGCTGCTGCACGGACGGCGGCACGGGAGGGGTCGACGGACATCTTGGAGGAGGTGGCGGCGGCGGTTCGGAAAAAGTCGAGGGCGAGTACTGCCGACTGAGCTTCTCGTGCGGCAGGGGAGGGGCGTCGGGCTGCCGCGGACTGTCCGACCTGGAGCTGCCCGCGCCCGAGTCGAGCGCTGGACTGCCGCGGTGGAGGTCGCGTTCTAAACTCGGTTTCCTTATAAGTTTAGTGCTTAGAGCACTTAAATTGCTCGTCTTGAGGACTCCATTCAATGGTTCCGTTTGTTTCGACAGGTAATCGAGTGCCGCATCTAGACGCCCTCCTGTGAATTTCAACGCCCTCACAGCTGAATCCTAGAACAAATGGAATAAATAATAAAATAAATTTTTAAAGTATAACAGCAGAGGAACAGGGCAAATTTTAGTGACATCGAAGTCCATGATGGATATTAAACCAAAAGGGGGAATTATTGAGGCCGCTGATTCTCTATCCAAGGAACAATTTATATTACTTTACAGTACGCCTAAGCTTGCAGGAGCTATTCAGATAATACAATTATGCTCTACCAAATATCTAATCCTATCTCTTGAGATGGCATATCTGTCTGAAACACAGAACACAGAAAGAAATTGGAAGGGACTTCTGGGAGGATTGCACCATTGCTCTCGGGTGTGAGCGCTCATTGTTTCGATTGTTTATTGTCGCGTCGTTTGATTGGCTATTATCTATTAGATGCAAGTGTAGTGGGGGCGAACCGGCTACATCGGTTCCTGTACAAACGGTTTATGATCACCCTTCTAACCTCTTTCTGTGGTCTGAAAGCACCTATGGGGTGAACACTTGTAGTACCTCTACTAGTGTCTGCAGCTTCAACCTCAGTAGAAGATAAAAACAGTTGCTTCAGAAGGAAAAACTCTAAAATGTTTCTTTATTTAGAAAACAGTTTTAAACGAAATTAGCAAAATCTAATGAGGAAGGTGTCTTTATAGCAACATGGCAAACACTTTTTCATATACAATAATTTTAAATTTTTATAGTGCACTCACAAGTAAACCGCAAAGACGGTCCTCTGCCTGTCTCCGCAGTGAAGTGAAGGAACAGGCGAGTCAAATGGGTCAGTCATACAGAGGTGTGTATGTGTATGCGTAAACAATCTATACAGATTTATTAGAGAAAATAAAATGCAACAAGCACAATCCTATTTGGTGAGAAAGACACTTTATAGAAGACTTTTCACAGGCAGTGAAAACCTTTCAACAGTATAGGGCCATTTTTAGACACTATGTAAGATGATAAATAGCAGTGGAAATTACTTAGCCAATTGTTTAACCTAAATGTTATATTTTCTATCTGTAAATTAGCGCTGCTATTTCCCTAATAATAAATAAATTGAAGATACTTGTTCACAGCAATATTTTAACTATTGTTTCCTGAAATCATCCAAAGCCCCACCAATGCCAACAATGATTTTGAATTAGCGCTTTATTTGTGGAGAATTTTAACCTATATATTTATACCCTAGTATATTTATTGAAATTGTCATGGCACTGCACATTTTGATACTTTTAAAATATGCTGTCTAACAATGCTCTCATGATGGTCTACTATTATACTTTACTTTCAATAAATATACTTATATTGTAATGAAGTTATTGAATTATTATAAAGTGATAAAAAATATTAATGGGCCTGATTCTCTATGCTTAAATGTGAAACAGTTTCTCCTTTTCATTCTGTATAGAACATGATAAGGAATAAATATTGTAAAGTTTAATTTTAGATTTTGAGTAACATGCCAAAATGATCAGAAGAAATATAAATAATTCAAATTATTGTGATCGCCTGTTGCCATTCATCAACAGCATATTAATGTCCTCTCTACTAAGGTACAGAACTATCCTTCCTACAGAATCAATGAAACAGAAAGGATTTGCATAAGGGTACATGTAAGCATTTTCTATAAATCTTAGTGAAAAATAATAAATATAATAAAGAGAACCACTTTTAAGTTCTAAAAGTTATCAAAAGATATACTAAACTAAACAAGAATTCTTGCAATCCATACACAAGATCTAGATGTATTCATGATATGCATGGATAAATATCACATAAGATAACAAGCACAATTTTTATAAAGCATAGACTGACATAATATTATGTTATTCATAAAGTTTACAAACTTGCAGGTCAATCTGATAACCTTTTTTTAAAGCCAGCTCCAAATAATAATATTTAACATAACAGACGTTGCAAATTAGGTCACATAAGGTTGAGAAAACACAATTTACATATATTTATGTTTAATTGTACACATTATGAAATAAATGTCATTATTATCTAATTGAATGCAAATTATAAAAAAAAATTTGAGACCTAACATTAATTTAAGAAATGTTTCCATATGGTATGGTAAATAGATCACTTTGTGTGGCTATTTATGTCAAGTAATTTAGCATAAAAGTTATGTATTATCATTTTAATTAATTTTACTATTGCATTCACATCAATAACTTCAAGCTTGGTATTTTATCTCCCAAAATAATGAGGCAATATTACAGGTACACACAACATACACACAACAGTGTGAATGTAAAGGATAGGAATGTGGCCCTTGTAGACACCACAGTATTCTTAGGGATAACTTTAGATTCAAAGCTTCAATGGGGCCCACATATTGATAAATTGTTAAATAGACTTAGCTCTGCAGCATATGCCGTAATGAAGATACGGCAGTTAACATATGTAGATACGGTTGTGTATTATACATCCAATTTGAATAAATACTTCACAGGGACAATCAGAAAATGAAGTAGGTAAAGATTTAATTAGGTTCTGATATATCTAATATCGGAACCTAAATAGATATCTAACACAAAGATAGGTTAGCCATGGCTAAATATTATATATTCAATGTTGGATTCTCACAACTAGCAGATATAAATGCAAAAAGAAGACAACTTCTAACTTACCTCATCATATCCTAACGCAATGAGTTGATTGAGCGACTGTGGAAGCACATTCAAGTCTTTATCCAATCCATTTCCTGAGGAAGAACTAAAGCCAGAGCTCACACCGGAGCTGACAGTACTCGCAGCTGATGAGCCAGGAGGATCAGAACTTCCAATATTTGCAAATGGGAGTAAAGAGTTACGGATTTCGGCAAGCGCCTTCTGGTTGTACCCGGAGGAGCGCGTGGCCGTCTTGCCGGGCGCCGGCGGGTTCATGGCGCCCGCGCCCGAGCGCCTCACCGTCTACCCCACCCCTCCCATCACATGAGCACACCCCACCATACACAGGTATCAGTCACCGTTCGCATTTGCTTGTATATCACACTTATTACTTTGAATTATGAATGGTTTTGCTTTTCAACTCAAATACTGATCACTATTTTTCTTTTTCTTACAAATCACTTCAAACTGACATCACAAAAACCACGACGAAGTTGGAAGCTCTGTAAACAAAAATAAGAATTGATAAATTACAATCATTCCTATACTTTCTAGTTGGTTATTATTAAATTTTTGAATGAATGTCAATGTATGAACATGAACATTTTACAGATTTTTGAAACTGAAAACAAACTGAGCATGTAACAGTGATTGAAATCAATGTAATAAATTAGCAATTTTGCTGTTCGTAGCCAGAATGCTGTAAACCTTGATAATCTAAACAAAATAAAAGAAACTCATCACATACGATTGTGGAATGCCAAAATTAGAGGCAGCTTTGTTATGTTACAAATATTAACTACCAATCGACATAGTAAGTAAATGTTGAATTTAATTCTTCGTACCGTTTAATTAATCGATGTTTTTCCAGGTAAGAAGAGCAAACGCCATAATTCCATAAAATAAAAATTGTGTCTTGGAGGGCTCTCACATTACCGATGACATCTTTCTTGCACAACACAAGTAGCAACTCCAACAAATACGGGAATACTTTTGTTTGACGACAGATAGATAGATCAGGCTTCACGCTATAAATTACTAAATCAAACGTATTACGACAACAAAGAACTATGCTGAAACACAGACATGCAAGTTGGCAAACCATACAAAGCGACCATTTTGAAGAATTTCTATTTTTTTTATCTTTAATGGCGTTGAGCTACGTTTTTGTGCCAATTGTGCCATCGATAAATGTCACAGATTATATTATATATTAAGCTATGACTCTAATCATAAGTTTAATTTTAAGTTTAGGTTTAGAGAATGTAACGCCGGAATCGGTCCCATTGTAATTTCTATGTCCATTGTGTTATATTACTGTGTCGATCTTTGTTTCTTTATTTAAACGGTAGTTTTTAAATGTAATTCATGTATTGTTGAAAACATTGGTTATATAAATGTAAATGTACATTTTATAACATTTAATAAAATATATGCTTATTTAATATTTCTACATCGAAAACCTAAATTATCAATTACTTACTTTAATTTTTCATTGTAGGCAAGTGCCAAAAATGACGTTAACATTAATTATAAGACCTTGACATTTTCATAACTGACATTTGACAATGACATTGACAGCTAAGAACCGAAATGAAAAAAATCGAGAAAGTCGATCGGTGTTTCTTGAAGGGGCTTTAAAAAAGTAACACATTTTATAAAAGAACGCAGTCTTGATATCATGGTTAAATACATACACTGAATCTAAAATAATCACCTCTACCTAAAATGTATAAACCTATCAATTTGGTAGTTCTGCTCTTACCTTATTTTGTTGCTCCAGATGAAAATTTTGTGTATGATTATAGCCCTAATAACTTCAAAGACCGCATAGAAGAACTAGATGGCAATTTTGTAATGTTTTTTGCACCATGGTATGTATATACGTCCAGTAGTCTCTCTCTCTCTCTCTATAGTTTTATTACGATTTTCTACCAAATGTTACATGACTTTCTTAATTTGTTAAATATAAAAATTTTTACATGACAAATAAATTTACTTTATCATATTTCGTATCAGTATTTCTAAAGATATATTTTGCATTTACCTATAATAAATTAGGAAGTTTTTTTTTATGTTATATGGGGCATACGAGCAGACGGCTCACCTGATGGTAAGTGATCACCGTCGCCCATGGACACTTGCAACACCAGGAGTATCACAAATGCGATGCCGGCCTTTAAGGAAGGAGTACGCTCTTTTTTTTGAAGGTTTTTGGGTCATATCGGTCCGTTGTTTATTACAATTGTCTGCATACTTGTTTAACAGGTGTCGGCATTGCACAGAGTTTCATCCAATTTGGCAAGAGCTGGGTAAACTGGTGAATACAAAAGATTCTAAGTTCGCTATAGCTCAAGTGGACTGCACTCTACACTTTAAACTATGTCATGAAAATGATATCACAGGTATATCATACTTTCTATAATTGTTTTTTGGAAGTTATATGCTTCATGAGGAGCTCTGCGGCCGAGTGGTTTGTACACTGGGTTTCATGGTGTCGCCGACTCGAGAGGTCCCATCGAATCCCGGTGGGGGCAGATGTTTATCTGATGAATACAAGCATTTGTACTCCAGTAATGGAAGTTAAATATGTATTTGTTTATTCTTTATTTATTTAATATTTTTTCTGATCCAAGGTTTTTGTTTTTTAAACTAATAACTTTATACATGGCTTTTTTGAGATGACCTGTAGTTAAAACTATCTATTTGTCCCTATCTTATTTCATTTAATTTTTAAACTAAGATGTGAAGCTGTAACTTTCAATTATAAAAATGTTGTTATAAATCATTTCTTAAAAATTTACAGGATATCCAACACTTTTTTATTTTCATAAGAACTCCTTCACACCTGTAGAATATAAGGGCACAAGAGATCTTCCTTCATTGACAATTTTCTTGAGTGAAGTCTTTACAATGAAGTTGGAGGTAAGCTAATTGTTTGAAAGTTTGTTTAATAACCATTATAATATTGTTTATTGGCTGAGAATTAAAGTAGGAAAAAAGAAAGAACTGGATAATAAATATGGGAACTTCACTATTAGTAATATATACAAAAGAATGTGTCTTGTCTTATGCTAAGTTGACATTTCTCCACTCTACGCTGGTATACCTTCAGCCACTTACTTTTTCCTAAAGTCTCAGTGGAAGAATTGTTGTTACAAGAAAATCTTGCAATGATTTAAGCCCGCCTGCCTTTAGCAAAAATACTTAGTATAGTCATGTGCAGAGTATACCTATAATATTAAAAATGTAATCACATCTTACAAATCTAATTTGGTTGTCTGTACATTTATATGTTTTTTTATTGCAGAAAAAAGAATCAAGTCTTGTTAAAATATACAGTGGTATGGCGTACCTCAACGATCAAAATATTGAGAAATTTGTCTCAAACGGACAGCATTTTGTAATGTTCTATGCACCATGGTGTAAAGCGTCACAGGTAAGAAATTAGACTGGCTCACACATAATTTGTTAGATAGAAATAAATAGCAGTTATTGCTAGGTAATTTAAAACCAAATATCATTACAGTCACTGATAATTTACTACTACCAATAAATTATTATGCACAAGTTAAAGTTCCATTGTTCTCTGCATAATAATAATATAATGTTACTAACTTTTTTGCATAAAATAAGTTTGTTTTAATATAATATTTATTAGGTTTTATGTTTACATTACAGAAATTGGCACCAGTTTGGGCAGAGTTGGCAGTCCAATATTCCCACAATGAATACATACAGATAGGGAAAGTGAACTGCATGGAGAATGAAATGACCTGTAAAAACTTTGACATAAAGCAGTATCCATACCTTTTATGGATAGTCAATGGCAGAATTGTAAGCTAAATTTTAACATTTTTTAACTTTAACACATGATTTGTGATTTAGCAAAGTAAAAGGAATCTTTTCTCTCAAATTACTAAATAATAAGCACAATCAAAATTTTGTTTTAGAAAGCAATGAATAACCCTAGAAAAATTAATTTATGCTAGCAAGCTAGCATATGCAAATAACTAATATGATGCTTATAACATTACATATTACTTTCTATTATCCTAATCGTTTATCCTAAACTACTGCCTTCAGGCAGTAATAAATTAAGAATTTATCTGTTGTTTTTACTTTTACTGTAGAATCCTTGTCAGATCCCTACTTTATTTGATCATTAATTTTATTGTCAGATGGGCGTAGCTGACGCGGATAACTTAGAAGATCTTAAAGCATACGTAGGAAAAATGTTGCTCTCTGAAAATCATGATCCCGATAAGTTCATGAAAAAGAAGAAAGCTTTGCCGGTGGCCCGAATATCTGAAGAGACTTTTGAAACTTTCTTAGAGAAGGATCTGGTGTTCATCAATTATTTTGCACCCTGGTAAGAAGAATGTTTTTTTCTTCTCTTAATGAATAAAATTTAAGAATTTTCATTTTATTAAATATGACCAACGTACATGTAGTACATAAGTGTAGTGTTCGTTCAGATAAACTCGTGTAGTAGTGAAACTACACTGTTTTGTTTGATAAAGGTTATTTCGTAAGAATTTATCTATGAATGATAATCCAGGAGCTCTATGACGCTTCGGATACCGTGTTCTGTCTGCAATCATAGACGTTAAACAAGCGAGCATTTTTAAACGCATAATTTTGCTTACGATACTTTTTGAGTGGGATTATGAGTCTACTTGTTTTTAATCATCAATGATTCCTGGCCAATCTCACACGCAATAAACCACCATATTATAATTTCTATGAGGTTTTGTGATGTTTCTGTAATACTTATTAAAAATCAAACAACTGTCAAGGGTTCTCTCTTTTATTCTTTACTTTAACTGTATAATTCACATTACAAAATACTTCATCCCATATCTTTTCGCTTTCAACTATTACGCACTTTTCTCAAGCAATCATCTCAGATTAATCCGTCCACAGATGTTCGAATATTGTCTACGATACTCAGATTTCGTTTCGTTTTAACCGTGTCATCGTATTTGAAATACTGTTCTATGTTCATAAATAACAATAAATGTTGTAATTGCTAACACGTATATGTAGTATTCAGTAGTGTTCATTCAGATAAACTCGCGGATTTTTAACGCAAATTCGTATAGAAACGCAAATTCGTGTATCAAAGAAACTACACTGTTTTGAATGAATCATAATCCAGGAGTTCTTTGACGCTTCGGATACTGTGTTATGTCTGCAATCATGGACGTTAAACAAGCGAGAGCTTTTTGAGTGTGATTATATGTCTACTTGTTTTTATTAGCCAATGGTTCCTGGCCAAACTCACATGCAGCCAAGCACCATATTATAATTTCTATGAGGTTCTGTGATGTTTCTGTAATACTGGATTCGTTTGTCAGGTGCGCTCACTGCATGCAGCTGGGGCCTCTTTGGCTAAAACTGGGAGAGAAGTTCCAGAATGAGAGCCGCGTCTTAATCGCCGACGTAGATTGCGTGCGCTCAAAGCCCATCTGCGAGACTGAAAAGGTAACCATCTATATGTGTATATTGATTAATAATTTATTTATTTATAATGACACATTAACAGGTGCGGCGGCGACATCTATATGCCCCACATATATCACACGGATGGCGCTACCGACGCTGCGATCAATACGTATGGAAGCCTACATCGCGCAAGTAGAAAATGTTATAGGGGGCATACGAGCAGAAGGCTCACCTGATGGTAAGTGATCACCGTCGCCCATGGACACTTGCAACACCAGGAGTATCACAAATGCGATGCCGGCCGATTTAAGGAAGGAGTACGCTCTTTTTTTGAAGGTTCTTGGGTCGTATCGGTCCGGAAACACTGATGGCGACAACATATTCCACAGTTTTGTCGTACGTGGTAAAAAATTTCGACAAAAACGCACGGTTGTGGATAGCCACGCATCAAGATGATGGGGATGAAATTTTTGTCGCGATGTACGATGGCGAAATGCAGTAGCTGGAATTAATCCGAACAATTCCTCAGAACACTCCCCGTGATAAATGCGATAGAAGATGCAGAGCGAAGCTACATCCCTACGCAAAGCCAAAGGATCAAGATGATCGGAAAGGTCCTGGTCGTCGACGATTCGAGCCGCTCGGCGCTGGATGCGATCCAAAGGGAGAAGCTGGTACTGGGGTGTCCCCGCCCAAAGATGAGAGCAGTACTCCATGTGAGGCCGAACCTGTGCCTTATAATGCTGCAGTCGGTGGGCCGGTGTGAAGTACATTCTCGATCTATTGAGCACACCAAGCTTCTTAGAGGCCAATTTGGCCTTGCCCTCTAAATGATCCCGAAACTGCACGTCGCTCGATATGTCAACGCCAAGAATTCCAATCCTAGCTGAGGCAGTTAGAGGAGTCTCAAAGAGAGGAGATACGACAAAATGTATTAATATTTTTTTATTAATTGTGCACAACATTTACTTACATAAATAGACATCAAACAAAAAAAATAAATGTTTTTTTTTGTTTAGGTAGCTCGACAAAGTAAATAAAAAATCATTATTCTGGCGATGCAGACCTGAAAAGGCTGCGAAACGTCAATAAAGAAATAAAGTTCGTGCATTAACCCGTAAATAAAGTTCGTGCGTTAAAACTAGTTTTATTTTATGAGTGATGTGCGTGAAAACCTAAGACACAAATGCCTAGTTATATTTTTCTTTAGTATTAAGCTATATTTGTGCCAAATTTTATCCGAACCCGTTCAGCCGTTTTTGCCTGGTTGAGTAACAAATATTTACAATGTTAGAATGATTTTCAATAATCTTTGACTTTTCTGTCGCAGATAAACGGGCTGCCTACTCTAATATTGTATAAACACAAGAAGATAGTGAACATAGAGCACGGCAGCCGGCCGCTGGACAGCCTCGTGTCTCTGGTCAAACAACACTTGCGCGATGCCACCGAACAAACTGTAACGCCGGACAGTAACAATAACACCCAAAGTGATAACATCAACACCAAAGATGAATTATAATTTATTATACTTACTTATTTATTAAAAATTCAAATAATAATTTTGTGTCTTAATTTAAACCTATTTTTGTTTTTTTTTTGTAGTTAAACCTCTTTTCTGGCGGGGTGTAAATAGAAATGGAAAAAATCAATGAAAAAGATGAAACAGAAATATATATATATATATATCAATATATAAAATTCTCGTGTCGCGGTGTTTGTGGTTAGACCTCCGAAATTGCTTTCGCGATTCTCATGAAATTTTGTGTGCATATTAGGTAGGTCTGAGAATCGGACAACATCTATTTTTCATCCCCCTAAATGTTTAGGGTAATCCACCCCTATTTTTTTTTAATTTTAGATATATTTTTTTATGATACAGCATTAGTAAATACATATAACCCTGAATTTTCAACCCTTTACAATCAACTCCCTATTTTTTATGGCGGTACGAAGTTCGCTGGGACAGCTAGTATATATATATGTGTGTGTGTGGGATGCGCAGCTCTTCCCGACGAGCATGAAAGCTAGAGGGTAACTCGGCGAAGGCTGAAACGTTACGAACGTCACGAGAGTCACACGCGACAAAATATACATATATACGAGTGATGCGTGCGCTGCTCCATTCCCCTATGTCATATGCATGACTATGACTTTATAGTATATGTATTAAATTTATTTATATCCTTACTAGCTGACCCGGCGAAGTTCGTACCGCCCAAAACTAATCTTTTGCAATAAATTAATAATGCGACCATAAATTGAAATGTAAGCTATGCACTCTTTCAAGTTATATCAAACTGCACACGGTGTGCAAATTTGATTTAAATCGGTTAAGTCCATCCCGGACAAACGTGACGCCTAATTTATATACAGGACGTCCCACGAGTTTGTCACACGGAGGGAAAGATTTCTAAATTCAATATTGGAGATAGGATTATTTCTGAAAGAATACATCAATTTATTTTTAAAATGACCACCGCAACCGGAAATCAGACTCGTGAAATGTGAAACAAAATAACACGTCATGATAACCGTCGACAGGCGACAGGTTTAATAATTAGGATTATTTTTTTCTAAATAACATTTTTTAAATAATTGAACACAAACTACAATAACAGAGAAACGATGCAAGGTTTGTATAAGTATCTTTTTTATTTTATTTATCGTGAAAAAGAAATATTATGATAATCAATATAAAAACCTTGTTATAAATAAGTAAATCTTTTATTTTTAAGTGAGAAGGTACTAGTTAGTAAATACTTTGAAATGATGAAATTAGCTGTTGGAAGCACGGAAATACATCAACAAATGCCGAACTCGCCATCCGCGAACTGACCACACGTCTGACGAACCCTTTACTAAAATATAAAGTTAGCTGTAAAGTTTATTGTAACTATATATCTTTATGCTAAACTAGAGGCCCGCCCTCGCTTCGCTTCGGTGTAGAGCTGAAGCGTAGACTACAGTTTTTGTTCTCAGGCTTGTTTTATACACAATGACATTCATCTATGATTATTCTTATACCTGCATGCAAAGTCTCAGCCCGTTCGGTTTTAAAATTGACAAAGTTTCATACAAACTTTCATTCCCTATTTTATCCCCTTGGGGGTAGAATTGATCAAAATCCTTTCTTAGCGGATGCCTACGTCATAACATCTACCTTCATGCCAAATTTCAGCCCTATCCGTCCAGTGGTTTGGGCTGGGCGTTGATAGATTACTACGTCAGTCAGTCACCTTTGAGTTTTATATATATAGATTATAAAAAAACTGAAGATGGTATATTTATCTTTTCCAAACTTCTATTGACATCACGACGCTCAATTGTTTTGCCTTCCCAGAATCTCTCCACTAACATTTGAAATTTATGGTATGGTATTAAAGTTCAAATTGACTTTTAAGTATTATTACGAATCGTTTGTATGGGAGTAAAGAAAAGTTTTGTTTTTTGACATTTTCAGGCATTTTTTTAAATTTTTCTCTTCGTAAGAACCATCCTCGTACTTCAAGGAATATTCTAAAAAAAATCAGCCTAATCGGTCAAGCCGTTTTCATGTTATGTCGTGACAACGGAAAACGGGTTTCATTTTTATATATATAGATGATGTAATGGAAGGTGACTTCAGTAGGATCTCTAGTCATTTTTCAACTTAACTTTAAAATAATACAGGGAGAAAAAAACAGTCCTTGCTGAGTATCTTGCCGGTTCTTTTCAGTACAAGGTCTCCCGCTGTAGTTTTGCGAACCGATATCGTAGTTTCTTGAGCTTCACGAGTTCTTGTAACAGCCTAGACTGAATAAATTTTGAGAAATTAGCCGCCGAAGCTATTTATTTATTTAATACTTTTAACTACTACTTAAGGTGCATCGCAGTAGAATTGTTACACGCATAGATAACACGTCTCTTTATACGACTGGGATAAATATTGTTTTTAGACTTCAAAAGAAGCAAGATTATTTGCTATTTAATTTAGCCCCTCTTTAATTAAGGTTTTTGGTACTAGTTATATAAAGAACTACGTAATTTATTATAATATTTTATTTATTGCTTTAATAATATTAGGTAATATAAAGATTATATTTTTATTTAAAAATGACAATCAGTATACTAAATATTTTTGTATGTGGTGCAATGAAATACTTATGCTAAAATATGCAAACTATGTACATGTGGAAGTGTATCACTTAAGAAATATCCATGAGATTCCCAGTCTGGGAAAGTGTTAAAGCGTGTAAATGCAATAATAACAATCTAGAATTCTATCACAAGTTAACTTAAATCCAAAAAATAATTAAACATTCTTTCTGTGAACTGTCTGTGATTGAAAGAAAGCTCCATCAGATTGTGTTGCTTGCTTGTTTATTTGTTTATGGCGGTCCCGAGACACTATCTCTTCTAACACTTCTCCGTCTCCTTTAATTAACCTGGAAACAAGATACAACTCAGAGATAGCAAAAATGAAAACATTCTTTATTGAATATCAAAACATTTACAGGCATAATATTCTTGCAAAGCAATTTTTACTTAATTACTCATAGTAAACTGTTTTTATTATTCTTGTACGCTTACACTGAGATGCATTTAATAGAAAGTAAAGCTGGTAATTTAATGTTTGAATTTAATCTACTCTACCATTACTTAACATCAGATGCGGTGGAGACACTAGCTCAGACCTACATATAAATCAAATTAGAGTTAGGTATTTACAGTGGGGGAATGAGAAAGCATATGGGACTCCTCCGTGCCCACTTCAGGTCCTGAGGCTCGCTGAAGTGAAAAGGACCCTACCTACGCCCTGAACAGGGCCACTAAAAACAAGACAATATCCCTGCAGTGTCACCCACTCTGCATTGCTAGGACCGCAGTCCCAACAACGCAGATCGAGAGTGCGGGTGGTGTTTCAGTACGGTACCCAACATTATGTATTTACAACTTAATTTGATAAATAATGTGGTGCAGTAATAATAATTCCAGACAGCCATTTTAGAATGATAGGATAACCTGTATCTGCCAGTTTCTTCATCTACAACTTTTCGGATCACACTTTGGCGTTTCTCCCATTCCTCTCTGGTCATGGGAGCCATAGCTTTTGACCGCTCCATCAGCTCTATAATGAAAAGTATAATATTTTTATTCGAACTGTCACAACAGAATTTATAATTTAATCCGAATAAGACTAACCAAGAGGAATATCGGCAGGGGTTACATCCGAAAGTCTTTCAGCATCATTGTCATGACTATTTTCTGTTTTAGGTCTCTTCAGTTTTTTCAGTTTGCGCTTCTCATCCTTGAGCTTCTTCTTCAAAATTTTTTCAGTTTTCTTTTGCTCCTTTTTAAGCTTTTTCTTCAGTTTTTTAAGCTTCTTTTTCTCTTGAGAAGAATCTGAGGAATTTGAACTATCTGTTGAAGACCTCCGTCGCTTTGATTTCTTTTTGTCCATATCAAAAACTGAACTGCTAAATTATAATTAGATTATATAAACTAACAATCGGACGGAAAGCAAGAGCAGAAGGAACAGGAACACAATTTTTTTCGATTTAAAATCAAAACACTAATCGATAGAAGGGCCAATCCAAGCACAAACAGCTTGTTCTCATATTAGCACAGACTAATAAGAGAACAAGTTCATATTAGTCTGTGGCACAAACACAGAACAATATTAGGGTACGGCAGAGTGCACTCAGATTCAGACTCAGAAAACAAGCGCGAGAAATATACAGTGTAGTTTAAGCAGGTTGCCTGCGGCCACTATGGCCACCCTGAATCTGAGTGCACTCTGGACGTAGGGTGCGGCCAGAGTGCACTCAGATAATATATAATTTGGAAAATTGTCATAATACCGATATGCCTAACAGTGGTATCGATTCTGACATGATTCTCGAAACCTAAACTTAAATTTGACAACAGTACCCTTAGTACGAGTTTGAGTTTACGAAAATTATCATAGTTTTCGTAATTGTAAATTATGTTTCTATGTCCATTTTGGTGAAAAGTAACCAAATACACTTAAATTTTAAGAAGACACTAATGATTTAATTATAGAATTTAAACACTGTTTATTTGTATTGAAACGACAACAATAAAATCAGTACGCTTAGTACGAGTGCGAGCTCACGAAAACTATCATAGTTTTCGTAATTGTAAAACTCGTACTAAGGGTACTACTGTACATGCTTGTTATTCTCTATACAGAATGAAAAGTAAAGACTGATGTTAAATTAAGTTTAGAGAATCACGCCAGAATCGGCACCATTATATCGATAGTATTGTTAGCAAAAGGGGATCTTTTAGAAAAATAAGACGTTGTTGTCGAATCTGGCATGATTTTCTAAACCGAAAAACTGTAAACTTAAATTTGACAATGGTAGCTTTCCAATTACAGCATTATAGTGCATTATGCGGCATAATGCTTAACGTTGAGTGTTCCAACTACAGCAACGCTTCGCACAATTGAGCACTCTCAAAAGTAATGCTTTCGTGTGATGCGCGTGCAATCGTACCAACCCAGTGACAGAAAATTAACAAGTGTTTTTTCTTTAAGTTGGCATTGATCGAAATGTTT